TCTTATCAAACGGGTAAACAAAACATAGTTCCGAAGAACACACAAGACTCATCATGGTTAAACGAATCACAAGGTTGAACACTTAGCATGATTCAAGACGCCAATACCTACATGGAATCCAACCACATAGTTCTAGACATACGAAACATCAAGAAGACACTCAAATAGTTCAACAAAAGAACATCGGGAAGTCAAAACATCAATTACCGAATCAAAAGAATCACGGGGAACAAATCCCCACACAAACCATCATTGTACCCCGCGGGTGGGGCCACGGGTGGACCCCCACCCGTGGTTCCGCCCGCTGGAACCATGTTCCAGCAGCCTTGTACCCCGTGAGTGGTGCGGCGGGAAGCCCACTGCCCGCCGTTCCGCCCGCGGGTACATGTCCTGTACCAAAATAATCCCTCAGGGATTTTCAACACCAAGTCCAAATTCAAGTCCAAAACACCCATAATCTCACAAAATACAACAATATGACTTGAATCAAAGGAATAGCCAAGCAATGACATACAAGAACCCTAATAACAAGCTCTAGATATGTATTTTCACAAGACAATGCATCAACACTCACATTTCATAGCAAAAATCACAAGTAGAATCCAAGAAATCATCATATAGGTAAGAAAATAGATTTTGTAAAGCATGGGTTACCTCTTGTAGCCTAAACCTTCACTTATTACACCTTTACAAGCTTATAACAAGGCTCACCTTCAACACCAACTTCAAGAACACACCAAAAGACAACAAAGATTTCATCTTTAGAAAAAGACACCTTAAAAGGTACCAAAAACACTAAAGGACCAAATATCTTACCCTCCTATATGCTCAAGAGTAAGAGAGGTTGAATCTTGGAGACCAACTTGGAAGATCTTGGAATGCCCAAACTTGGCTTGAAGAAGAAGCTAGATAAATTCTAGAGAGAAGGAGGAGCTTTTGTTTTGAGTGTGTTAGGGAAAGAATGAAAGATGACTCTAGGTTAGCTTGGGATACAAACATAAGGTGAAAAGTCTTCTTTACCCTTACTAAAACGGAAAAGTGTAAGGAGACAAGGGAACCATTCATGAAGCATAGGGTACAACCCATTGACTTGGATTTACGGGGTGTCACATCCTCTCCCCCTTAAAAGAAGCTTCGTTCCCGAAGCTTGGGTACGACGAATTAAAACAAAACGATAAAACGGAACAACGATGTGACAAGAGTGTCAAGAATATCCTTTTGGTCAAAACTTAAAGGATCCAAAAGATGCCAAAAACAAGCAAGAAGTCATAGCATTGAAAGGTTGAAAGAAATAACCAATAGAGTTCTTTGAGCATAACGAACACTAAACCAAACACAACCACCAACCTTCTAACCACACAAAAGGTTCTAAACCACTAGCTCCTAGTACAACCCACAGAGCTAACTACTCAACACAACAAGCAAACAAGGACGATCACACAAAGCAAACAACAAAGCAGCAAGCCAACTGCAACAACAACTAACAAGCAAGAAGGAGCAACTAAACACCGCCAACCAGCAACAACAACTAGCCAGCAAACAAACAAACGAGCTAACACGACAAAACGGTCGGGTTACGAAACGGGTGACAAAGCTTAAGAGATGAGTTGCAATGAGGTTTTAAGCAATAAAGGTGTTCACCACTAACCAAAGTTAGAGGAACCAAGGGTTCAAATTAAGGTGGTAAGTTTGATAGGCTTGGACACAACGAAGTTCAACACAAAAACAGTCGGTTAACAAAAGGAGTGGCAAGGCTTAGAAATAAGCTGAAGGTTCACAAAGGTGAGTCAAGAAAGAAAGGTAAGATGATAGATAAAAGATTTACCATAAAGGGAAAGTAACCCTACCTTAACCTTAACTCTCTGCTTAAAACTAACCACCGATCTACCTAGATCTAGACGTCTGAGCAAAGACACAACCTACAGCTAAAACTAACACCAAGAGAGCTCTAAAGCTAGAACACTCGGTACCAATGAACCAGGGTTGCATATTCAACTGATCTCCGTTGACTTCTTCAACCAAAAGAAACAAGGTACTCACACTACACAACTTGAACACGGCATCCATTTGAACTTGATCCGTCACTTCCAGACAAAGGCCGCAACTGCTAGATACACGAGTTGGATGTCCTCCTCTCCAGCTCGTGGGCTAACTTGATGCAGGCTACCAACTTAGCACTTGCATTATCACACAACCAGCTACTCGCTGCAAGGCAACGCTTGAAAACTTCAAAGCTTCGGTTCGGATGAGAGGTCCAAAGCAGGAACGACAATACTGGAGAAAAGTAACTCAAGGGAAAGATGGCTTACAAGAAAAAATTTGGTTCAACGGAAAAGATTAGAGTGAAGGGTTAAGGTTCAAAACTCGAGGACCATGTTGGTTAAGAACAAGAGAATTGTAAACAAGGCTACAACTTAAAGGAGTAAGGAATCAAAACAGGGTTTAAGGGAGTTGAAAAGGATTTCCCCACGGAGGGTATCCGGTTTAAACTCCAGGATAACGCTGATTAGGAAAGGAATCAAGATTTTCAAAGTCACAACTTAGGAAAGATGAGGCTATAACCTTGAACAGAGTCAAATCAAGAGGGGAATAAGAATGAGATTTGAACCGGGAGGAAACTTAGGACCCGCACCCTTACCTGGTGCCTCAACTAAAGATAACCAAAGCTAACAGGAAACAAAGCACAGGAAGCACAACAGAAAATTATAGAAGAACTCATAACCTCACCGCGCGTCCTATAAGTCATAAGTCCTAAACACTTAGATACTTATGGTCATCTTAGGGTCTCAAACCACACTTAACTTCTTAAAAGTCTAGTCTCTAGCATCCTAGGCTCAAACCTAGGCTCTGATACCAGCTGTAACACCCCCGATTTTCATGCCATTTTAAACTCAATTATGCAAGATAACTAACCACAAAAACATAAAGCATAGCACATCGGAAGTCTAATATATAAAGCCAGAAAACAGGGAGTGTTATGCCATGTTGACATCAATGTGAGTGCACAGGAAAAAACCGACAACAACAATCTAATGTATTCAACAAAAGAAGCACACAGGCCCAAAACACAATCTAAACTGTCCAGGGAGTCTAATCAAGCCAATGTCTAACGCGCTCGCCGACTACTCAGGACCTGAAAAGCACATAAAGAAATGGGACGACGCCTGGTCAGCGAATAATGCTGGTAACCCATCAATACGCGTTAAATATCATACATAGATAGGATTATACAAAATCATTTTCGAAACGGAATACTGTATATATCAGTTCAAAACCCAAGATAGAAGTCAACTGTAAAACTCTATATCACTCACAACAAGGATAAGGGGAAACACATCCCAAAACACATCAAGACGTGACAACGACAACACAAGTAAGGCTCATGGCGTATTCTACCATCACCCAGTAGAATACCACCCGACATCCTCAACAAAAGAGAATAAAGAAACACACATCGACAACACATGCCTTCGTGACATCACACATCACGAATTCAAAAATTGAAGCTTTATCCATTCATATTCTATTCTACCTTCTTCTGCAGAGCCACCAGTTGCTAAAGTGAGACGCAAGCGCCACCATTCCGCGAGTTAAAACTGTGATGAAACGACACCAGAAGCTTCAAGGGTCTGTTGTAGGAGGAATATCAGCATGACATCGTCATCGTTGAAACCTGCAACCATCTTTTCATGGCTCATTGACTCTAAAACAGTTGAAGAAAATGGAGAAGTTATGGTCATATCCGCCATGGATGATGGGAACATCATAAAGAAGAAAGGGAAGATAAAGAGGGATGGGATAATGTGTCGTTGCTGCATAAAAACACTGACACCTGAAGAGTTTCACGCTCACGCCGGAGGAACCTCGTCAGATCAAGAGCGTTATTACGACAGAATCCTCATCGCCGCAGGTGGTTCGAGAAAATCTATGTTGTCGTTTATGGATGAGGCGTTGCGTGATCCTAGTGAGCGCGAGAATCGTGAGACGAAGTTTATCAGTGTAGAGGATAGGCATGATGCTGGGTGCATTGTTTGCGCCATTGGTGGTGATCTCCTCTGTTGCGACGGTTGTAGCTCAACCTATCATCAGCCCTGCATGGATATTAAGGTGAGATAGATAGAGATCCAAAACAAATATTATTTCTTTCTACTCTTATTATCTCTTTTTCAAGTGTTGGGCGGAAGCCAGAAAGGGCCAAGTCGAGCACTATGTATTGAGGGAAATTGTCTGGGTTAGTAAATGGTCTAAGTCCAACACCATATGATTAGAAAATTTGTTGGACGAAGGCTGGTAATTAAAGAGCCAAGTCCAGCCCCATGTGACTAGGGGAATTGTTGGCCTCCCCTAGGCTAGTATTCCTAGTAAAGGGTCAAGTACTCAAGTCCAACACCACATATGTGGCTAGGGGAATTGTTTGACTAAGACTGATAAAGGGTCAAGTCCAACACCATTTGGCTAGGAGAATTGTTTAATTTGATGAACATTGATAAAGGGCCAAGTCCAACACTATGTGGCTAGGGGAATTGTTGGGCAGAGGCTGGTAAAGGGTCAAGTCTAACACCCGAGCTCTTGGTGCATAGAGGTGAGCTTTCCTATTTATATATGCATACATATATTCATTTGAACAACAAATTGGGCCCTTGTTTTTATTAGATCATTCATTTTTCTTTACCCAATAAAATTTGTACACGTGACAAGAGTTATACTCTACATATATCATTTTCCTTGACTCTTTTTTGTGTGTCTAGTTTATAAATTTTAATGATAGATTTATTTTATGTTTTTGTTGCAAATAAGGTTTTTGTGGAACTGGAGAAAACATTTTTAGGATTAAAGAATGAATTGGAAGAAGGGTATTCATGGACATTACTCCGTCAGTTAGATCATCAGCACGGTGTGTACATAGATGAAGATTATAAAAGAACAATTTGTCACTCCAAGCTCGCTGTTGCCTGGAGATTAATGGAGGATTCTTTCGGACAAGTCATTGATAGCTACACAAAAATTAATGTTATCAAAAACGTCATTTACAACTGTGGGTATGTATTAGCTAGACACTATAGAAATTTCTATAACATATATCATGAATCTAAAGTTAGAAAAGAAATTTCATATTTGAATTATGACATTATATTGACATATATATAGTGATAGACACCTTCTGATATGTTTCATTTAAACTTTTGCAGTTCAAATTTCAATAGAATTGACTTCAAAGGCTTCTACACCGCTGTCTTAGAAACAAATGGGGAAATAGTTTGTGTTGCAGCTCTAAGGTAATTAATAATCATCAAACATGGTATATATATATATATATATATATATATATATATATATATATATATATATATATATATATATATATGTATATATATATATATCTAAAAACATAATAAGTGTGAATGAAGGTTATACCCTTCATTTATGTCCATTTTTTTCCGTTAAATTTTTTATACATTATGCTATAGAGGTTGTACTTTATAATATTTTGGACAAATATACCCCTACTGTTATAACTTCCGTTATCTTTTCCACTGTTATTACTATGCACATGCATCCACAATATATTTTCTTATCTTCTCTTCAATAATAATAATAATATTCATACATTATAATTTGGAGTTATTTTATACAATATAAATATCAAATGTATAAAAATGTTTTCATCATCATCATCATCATCATCATCATCATTATTATTATTATTATTATTATTATTATTATTATTATTTATTATAATTTAAATATAAAAAATCTTATTATTATTTATAATAATTTAAATCTAAAAAATATTAATATAAAATAATAATATTGGGCACCTAATTTTTGCGCATCGCGCATAAGAAAATACTAGTTTGTTATATATGTGTCAATTTGGTTCATAGTAAATAGCATAATCTCTAAAATGTAAACATCTGAACATATATATGCTCTTCTTTGTTTTAAGAGAATGCGAAGTTACTTTACACAATATGAAATTCTTATCATATTAATGAGAATCTCTCTCCCCCACCTCAACTATATATGTTATATCACATAATTCAAATATTTACGCTTTTATGTATATATAATGTTGTTTTAATTTATAGGATCCATGACAAAAGGATTGCTGAAATGCCTTTCATTGCTCCCCATTTTGCTCATAGACGTAAAGGGATGTGTAGAAAGCTTATGATTGCTATTGAATCTGTAATTTATTTAATTTATCTTTAAAATTATATTTTTATAAGTAATTTACTTTTAATTTCCTTTTCTCTCTTAAATTAAGCCGTCATACACGCATATTGCACGTGCTCCGGTATGACCAAACTTACACCTTTATTTCTCTATATGAATGTTTTTTTTAAAAAAATATATATATATTATTTTGATTTCCCAACATATATGACGTGCTTAACGGTGATATATTTATTTTGCAGGTACTTTGCTACCTTAATATAGAGAAACTAATCATTCCATCTGCACCAGAAAAGACAGAAGTTGGAAGAAAAAGTATGGATTTAGTGTATTAGATGATGAAACAAAGAAACATCTAATAAACTACAACGTATTGATGTTCCATGACGATGTTAAACTGCAAAAGATCCTCCTTCCTTGCAACAATTGACTAAGCTACTACTGCTGGTTTCACGGCTGCAGTGGCTAAGGCAGAGTATGGGTCGTGTTTATTTGACCTGCATGGGGTGTTTGTGGCAGCAACTAATGGACCATTATTGGACTGTGTTTATAATTCTCTTCTGGCGCGGTAAGGAAGCACTTAATTTCTTGGATCAAAGCTTGAGGTGTGGAGGTGATATGGATGGTTTCTGATTGTCTTAATTTAGTTAGTTCGTGCTAGCTTTAAAAGGGGATCGTATCGATAGAACTTATGTTGGCTCTGTTATTCATTGTTGTCTTTCTTTACGCAGTTCTTTTTTTTTTTCTTTAGAGTTTTGTCATATTAGTCGTTTTGTGAATCAGGTTGTCCATGCTTTGACAAAGGCAGTTAGTGATTAGTTTGAGTCTGTACTGGGAGGGTTCTCCCCCGTCTTTTATTTCAGTGTTTGCTTGAATATGAAGTTTGGATTTTTTGGGTTTTCAAAAAAGTTGAAAACAATAAAATTTAAACTAATTGCCTATGGGCTATGGATTCTTTCACTTCAGTTGAAATTATGCTTAGCTAATTGAATATATATGAATTGAAGGATTGGAGCAATTGATGAATTGAAGAAGAAGTGTTTGATAATGAAGAAAAAGAAGAAAAATATTTCATTGAAAGTCAAGAAGAAGTGTCTTGAACTCATTAGGTTGTGATCCTGCAAAGTTATGTTAGAAGATTTGCTTCATATTGTGTATTAATTCTTTGATTATATGGTATATTCTTTGAAAATGTGTTGTTGCTAAAAGAGTAGAGCACATATGAGCCGCACTACACATTCTTGTTCCTACTATATATGAGAGTAATAGGTATGTAGGATAGGGAGATTTTGCATGTTATGGTCTTGATTGTTTCCAATTTTATTTGAATTATGATTGTAATCAATTTGATTTGAATTACCATGAGGGTGGAATTGGAGTCAAATGATTGATCAGATGATTTCACCAGTAGCTACTGGTGCTATTGATTGGCGCGTGCAATGCACATGCCTGCTAAGTGCGTTAATACAATTAAAATTTTAATTCATTTTGACTGTGATATTTTTCATATACTTTTTTCCCATTTTTTTTCCACTTCTCTCTCCTTGTTGGACACAAAGCTAATCGAAACAATGTAACTATTGTAGTTACTCTAAGGAAGCTACTCTCTAATCCACTCTTATGGTTTTTGTCGACTAGGAATATGAATAGATTCTAGTAGTTCCTTAGTTGTCTGTAAAAAAAAAATAAAAAAAAAAAAAACAAATGAAGAACATATGAAGAAAAATGTTTTCTCAAAAGTTGTATCTTAATACAACAAAGGAGTAAAGCTAATCGCCAAGGACCTTGTAGTCTAGTGGCACCAAGTTACTCCTTTATTTGGGAGGTTGTGGGTTTGAGCCTTTAAGGTTTAACTGGTAAATCACTTGTGCGATGCACAAATAAATTTTTTATTATATATTTAAATAAGAGTTAATGCCACATGGGGTCCTCCGAGTATAGTGGTTTTGCCACGTTTAGTTCTAAACTTTCAAATTGACCATCTGTGGTTCTTCGATTTTCAAATTTAACCATTTATGGTCCAAGTTAACCACCAATGGTCCTTCAAGTTTCGAAATTTAACTAGGCGGGGTCCTCTAATGATTGGTTAAGATTTAATAGTTGAAGGACCATGGGTGGTTAACTTGGATCACGAATGGTTAAATTTGAAAGTCGAAGGACCATAGATGGTCAATTTGAAAGTTTATGACTAAACGTGACAAAATCATTATACTTGGAGGACCTTAGATGGTATTAACTCATTTAAATAATAAAATTAATGATGAAATTATAAAGAATTTTAATATTTGATGAAATTATAAAGAATTTTAATATTTGAAAGTGTACATTTATTTGAAATTATAGGATTTGTATATTAGTGTTCTCGCAATTGATTACTAAAAAATTATATTAGGAAAAGTCTAAACAAAAAATAGAGGGAAGAGCATGACTAATTGATATTATATATTTTAAGTAACAAAAATATACTATAATTAAATAAAGGGAATCTCTATGTTAAATTACCATAGTAAGATTAAAGTGTTAAATATAGGTTGTTAAAATGGGCGTAATATGTGTATATTTAATTTATTTAATTATGGACATAATATATGTATGTTTATTTTCCTTTAATTGCCCACCGTAATATGTGTATGTTTAATTTCCTATGTGTGCAGGAAAATTTATCATTAATTCCAATAAAAATAAGGTCGTTTTATTATGATTACTATATGATAATTAATTAAGGAGTATATATTATTCTTAATTAATATTATGGTAATTATTATGACGTCCATGTAATCAGAATAATTATGGTAATTAAGGAGTATATATATTATTCTTAATAAAATAATGTGTATATTTAATTTCGTTTAATTATGGACGTAATATGTGTATAATTTTTTTTTTTTGAAAGTTACTGGCTCTATTACATCGTAGTATCTGTTCATATACTTTCTCAACCTACTGAAACACAAAAGACCAATTACGCCTCCACTGAGGCTTGAACTCATAATCTTCCAAATGGAAGTCCAACCCGGATACCATTAGACCACATAGTCCTGGTAAATATGTGTATATTTAATTTCTTTTAAGAGTTAATAACCGATTTGGTCCTTCGACTATTGCGAAACTACTAATTTGGTCCTCGACTATGATCTCGTCCTCCGAATCTTTGACCGTGAAGCCACCGTCTAAATGAAGGACAATAATGTAAATACTCTTGTCATCTTCGTTGGCCTCTTCTCCAATACTGACCTCTTGTCCATGGCGTTGGGGCGGTCCCCAAGGCGACGAAATCTGCCAGCTTCGACTTGGGCAACGAGGATTTCAAACGGGATAATCCATGGATAATCGTCCCAAAAGCATCCTTAAGATGGTGGTAAGGTTCTGGCGATGCAAGACGTGAAGGCGGAAGAGGAGATAGAGATGTTGCCGTTGTCGGATTTGGCCGCCGGTCTGATTCAATAGCCACTGCCCCCAAATTATAGGGTTTGTAGAAAAATAAACCGGGCAATAAATTAATGTTCCATGACGCTATTAGACTGCAAAAAATCCTCCTTCCAAACAACAAATCGACCAAACATTAACAAGAGGTATTTTGATTAAAATTTATAAATTAAAAAAAAAAAAAGACAGAGGTGCTAGTGCGCGTCGTGCGCACCAACAGTGCTCAGTGGGTCGTCTATGTACTACACATGCCCACTGGGTGTGTTAATACAATTAAAAGATTTTATTATTTTCCCATTTTTTATTTCTTTCTTCCTTTTTTTTTTCTCTCTCAGCTCATTAAGTATATAATGTTGTTTGAATTCATAGGATCGATGACGAAAAGATTGCTGAAATGACTTTCATTGTTTCCCATTTTACTCATAGACGTAAAGGAATGTGTAGAAAGCTTATGATTGCTATTGAATATGTAAGTTACTGAATTTCTTTTTAAAATTATATTTTTATAAGTAATTTACTTTTAACTTCCTTTCTCGCTTAAATTAAGTCGTCATACAGGCATATTGCACGCGCTCCCATATGATCAAGCTAACACCTTTATTTCACTATATGAATCTTTTCTTTTTAAAATATTAAACATTATTTTGATTTCCCAACATATATGACATGCATAACGGTGATATATATATTCTGCAGGCACATTGCTACTATACCTCAATACTGAGAAACTAGTCATCCCATTTGCACCATAAAAAAAAAAGGCAAAATGTTGAAAGAAAAGTATAGATTCGGTGTATTGGATGATGAAACAAAGAAACAACTAATAAACTACAACACAATGATGTTCCATGACGCTGTTTGACTGCAAAAAATTCTCATTCCAAACAACAAATGGACCAAACCTTAACAAGAGGTATTCTGATTAAAATTTATAATTAAAAAAAAAAAAGAAGATAGAGGTACTAGTTTGCGTCGCGCGCTTAGTGGGCGTATGCACTACACATTCCCACTTGATGCGTTAATACAATTAAAAAATTTTATATTTTCTCATTTTTTATTTCTTTTTTTCATTTTTTTTCTCTCATTAGCTTATTAAGTATATAATGTTGTTTTAATTTATAGGATCCGTGACAAAAGGATTGCTGAAATGCCTTTCATTGCTGCCCATTTTGCTCATAGACGTAATGGGATGTGTAAAAGCTTATGATAGCTATTGAATCTTTAAGTTACTAAATTTCTTTTTAAAATTATATTTTTATAAGAAATTTACTTTTAATTTCTTTTAACGCTTAAATTAATTCGTCATACACGTATATTGCACTCGCTCCCATATGATCAAGCTAACACCTTTATTTCTCTATATGATTTTTTCTGTTTAAAAAAAATTATTTTGATTTCCCAACATATATATATATATATATATATATATATATATATATATATATATATATATATATATATATATATATATATATATATATATATATATATATATATATATATATATATATATATATATATATATATATTTGATGGAATATAATGAGTTGGGCCTGCGTCCGTGGGCATAAGGGTTGCAGGCCCAAGAGGAAGGAGCTAGTGAATGAGCCCATAGGCGTGGGCGACAACCGCGTATGGGGTGCACGCAGGGTGGCAGCGGCTCGCGTGTGGTCGCATGCATGCAAGGTGGTGGCGGTTCGTGTGCTACACGGTCGCATGCATGCAGGGTGGCGGTGGCTCGCATGCGTGCAGGAAGGCGGTGGGTCGCGTGTGTGGCACGCGGAAGGTGGTGGCTGCTCGTGCGTACGGGCGTACAGAGGGGTGGCTGCCATTCGTGAGGTAAACGTGGGTCGGGGAGGCGTTGGTTGCGTGGACACGAG